AAATCCACCAATGCCTTGACATTTGAAGTGCCTTATAAAAAAACATTAGCCTAATTAGACGGTCGAGAGCAGGTTGCATTCTTTTACAGTTTCTCTCTCCCACACTTTTTACTTTTCCTTCATCTTCTCATCTCATACAAGCACACAAATGCACTTCTGTAACTCGCCCATTCCAATACTCTAATTGCTTTACACCAAAGATTCACATTGGGAAATAGTGTATGGTGATGCATTTTAGATATGTGTTTTCCTCTTTTGATCGGCCTGGAGCAAGTTTGAGACAGGCTTTGCTAATCTCCATTTTAGGCTGGGTGAGGGTGTGGGGGAAAGGCCAGAGTGCTGAGTAAGAAGCCAAGCAAGACATTTATCTCTATAAAGCTGAGGGCCCGTTTTAAGGCTATCCATCATTATCTTGATGAACATGCCACATTACCAATGACATCGCATCTCCGCCATCCAAGGCCAGCAGCGGTTTGTCCTTTGGTGGACTTGTGAGGACCCCAGTCACGAGGAGTGAAGGGGTGGAGAGTGTGTGTCTTTACACATCAGGGTTAGGACTAGGTATTACTTGAAAATTTTCAATACTGAAAAATTACCTGAAATGACCTGAATTGCGTTGATCCTTTTTGGCATCTTACTTAAGAAATATAAACTTGATTTTCTATAAAGCTGTATTTTCGTTTGACAAAAGAAGCCAAAGTTGAAGTTTAAACTGTGGCCTAAAAGCAAACACCCAAGAACAGTAGTCTAAGATTGGCACGCATTTTGATTCAATTTGGGATCTGATTGAAGATTAAGTAATCAAGGACACAAATCTGACCGGGGGGGGGGGGGGGTTGTTCAGTTACTTTTATACAAAGTAAAATTATTTACATGTGTTGGTATTCAGGACACACAAAGACACATACACACACTGTATTGGGGCAGACTGCCAGTTGCTAAACTCCACTTTGAAGGATGGCCTTAATGAAAAATACTGGATAGTCAGGCAGTGTGCTGCACCTGTTAAAGCAGCCTTGCACATCCTGGGAGCGAGACAGGGAGCCAACAATTTTACCCCATAATGGGGCCAATATCTAGCTCAAAGCCTCTCTGTGCCTTTTGTGTGGTTTACCGTGTCCTTGGCTCATAAGCCTTGATAATGTTAGTAAATACAAACAGGGGCATGGATAAACTGGGCTGTAATCCACAGTACCTCTAGATGGAAGTGGAAGGGAACGATACGGGGGAGAGGAGAGAGAAGCGGCTGATTAGACAGGTTTTACTGCTCCTCTGCCGACCTAGAAAAACACAGCAGCCCTGACCTTGCATAGCAGTGCCCTTATATATCTAATGATCTCTGAGTACCTTAATGATACAATGTGTTCTCTCTCCCACTTTTTCCCTCCATTTTTGCTTATCCTCCTTTCATGCCTTTCTCCCCCCTATTCTCTCTTTTAGCACAAGCTTGTGCACACGCACGCTGGTCCACACACGCACGCAAAGTACACAGCCTTGAAAAACCCAGTCAGCAGTTTGGGCTAGGAGTCTAGCAAATGAGCTGTCCTATTGAAATAGAAAGGAGAGTGCTCTTTGCTGCAGAAAATGCTGCTATAGCAAGCCTTACAGAAGAGGGACAGAGGGAAAATTACTTGTTCGGACAAAGAAACATGAGAATGTCCTTTCACTACAAATGTACCAATTTACATTTAGACGGAGCAGATTACATCCATTACTTCTTCTTTTTTTCCCCCCTCTTTTTTTACCACAACCATATCTCATCTTATTATCTTTCATAAAACACCACTAAGTGCTGTAAGAGAGAGAGACAACCTCCAACCTCCAATTCAGTAAATGTATTTTTCATTGATTCAGCGTTCTTTTCTCTCCTCCTAGGTACTCCATTGGTTTGAACACTCTCCTAGTGTGGTTGGACTCCTGCAGTTTAATGGCGGCTGGACTGTTATATGGTTCAGCTCCATTGCATCAAAGATGACTAACCAACCACTGTACAGTTTTATATTCCTAAAGCGGGGTGCTGAATACCGTGTGATAGCCTCCTATCGCACCAAGAGATGTGTATTTTTTTAGACATGATGGGTCTTGGCTGATTGGTTGGACTCAGTGATCAAGCAGTCTGATACATCACAATCTGCAAACTTTAAAACAAACAAAAAAAGTCTTCATTAAGCTTTAGAGTTACCCGGCCATTTTGTCAATGTGTAGAAAACAACTTACACTGGCTTAAGTCATTCATTCTTGCGTCTAATTCTCTCTCTTTGGCCACTTAAAACACAAACCTACATTTGGTCCTGGTATTTCCCTTTCTCGCACTATCCGCCCACAGTAATTAAGATTCCATTCTGCTCTGAATAGGAATGTTAAGATGGAGGGTTATCACTGGGCTTCTGTAGGCTCACCCAATGAAACACCTATAGTGACCGCTCCGATTTACCCAATAGGGGTCCCTTCTTCCCCCCTCGAGATCCCTCTCCCCCTCATGGCCGTCTTGTTGTGTGGTCTCCTCTCTTTAGTTCTCCCATTACTCTGTATGTGAAGGCCTGGGAGGAGGGCGGCATGGGAGGAGTGGGGTGGTTGCAGAGGAGGGCTTCTGTCCCTGGATGAGTGAGTGTGGATAAGAAGTTGTTTGAATTCATAATTGTGCTCTTGTGAAGGGGGAGATTTGTAAAGCAAGGCTGGGTTCATTGTGTGGCAGTGCGAGTCCGGTGGAGGGTGCGAGCTGCTCAAAGCTAATGTAATCTACGCTATTAGAGAGGGTTAATTAGCTGCTGAACTGGAGCCTGAAGAGCAGGCAGAGAAGGAGAGACACATAGAGAGACCCAGAGAGAGAGAGAGGAAGGCGGGCAATAGGGATAGAGAGGTCTTCAGGGAGTCATTAGAGACTGCTTGTTGTAATACAGCCACAGTCAATAAGGCTACTCCTCTGAGGAGTACAAGACAGGCAAAGAGGGGTAGACTTTCACACCATGACAAATATCTGGATGTCAGCAGCTCTGCCACTGGACACAAGTTGGGAAACCAGAGACAAATTTTATGGCTTTATTTTTTTTATTGTCTCCCGCGCTTCATCTCGTTATACAACCCTGTGTTGTAAAATGTGAAATAAATAAATCAACCTTGTAAGTGCATGTTTTTTTTTTTTTACCGCCAACATGCGTTGTAGATGGATCAGTTATCCATCAAAATTTACTTAATATAACATAGTCTTCCAAATATAAAACATAATTTGATAATCAGGGACTTCAACGCTACTTTTACAACTGATTCCAATTTACCTCAAAGTTTCTCTCGAAAGTCATTCTTGGTTTCTGTAAATACAAAAAACTTCTAAGCCAATGGTACTTTTTTCTTTTCTTTCAACCTCTCAGTGCAGCATCATAAGGTGTGCCTTCCTGTTAGCACCAACTCTGTGATAAACTCCAGTATTAGATCAAACTAGGTGTGAAACTACAGTGATTTCAAACTGTAGCTTTGTGTGGCTGTTCATTTTCTTTTCACAGCAAATTACACTGGAGAAAAAAACCCAGAATTCAAGTCCAAACACATCTGAATATCTGAAACACATAAATAGGCCTTGACATACTGAAAGACATAACATGACAACAGAATATGATGTTGACATGTTTTACCTCGAATTACCTCAGTTACACACTGGACATTTCAACACAACTCTATTGTGGTTATTCTTTCAGTGACTCAAAATGGCAACCAGGTCTCATATGGTCTTGTTTGAATGTTCTCTAGTTGAGTGATGACCCTGCAACTTTAGGTAATTGTGGTTGTGAAAACATTTTTCAGCACAGTGGTGTCATATTCCACATTAACACAGTAGCTCTCAGGCTTTTAAATTCCGTTCTACACTTTAGTGGAACGAAGCAATTCCGAAAGTGGTTTGAAACTCTACCTAAATCATTGCAAACATTTCTTTGAATAACAATTTCAAAACATACTGCTTTGTTCTTGAACCTGCCTTGAGCATGTTAATAGTTTGCATTGTAGTGCACAATAAGCTATAATCTGTCCATCATATATATCTTCATTACCTATCATACTCACCGCCACTGCTCTGCTGCAAAAAGGCCTGCATGACTTTCTACTCAGTGTTTTTCTTTTTTTCAATTTTTTATTATCCTTTACTGTCTTATGCAGGTGGAAATTCTAAGTTTAAGTAGCCCAAGTGAAGCCCTGCTGGAACCCTGCTAGCAGTCTATTTGTATTTATCACTGTGTCCTCTAGTAGTCCATCCTATGCTGGGTCTCTTGTCGCTCTGAGCAAAACTTCACTTAAGATGGGTAGTTAGTGCCTGTTCCCTTGGCGTTTTAATGCAGATTAATTACTTTCCTTGGACCAAGCAATCCATTTTTGTTTGTTTGTGGATGTTTTTAGCTTTCTCTTGACCTTGAGGTGAAGAAAGAGAGAAAGAAAGTGAGAGAGGAAGAAAAAAAGCCCTCCACAGTAGACTTATACCCTCAATTTAATAGCCGAGTGAGGTGTTTCTCCAGCATCATCAGATCAATGGAGAGTAAATAGCCCACACTTCTTGTTTCACAGTGCAGTATTGATCTTTTCCTCAGCCTCGGCTTCCCTTTCCCCGGCATCTCGTGTCTTTCAACCCCTGGGACTGTGCTGATTGCCATAGATTGGACAAGCTAACAAGCGCATGATGAGGAACCAGGCTTTCTTTTCTTCTCATAGGCTGTTTCATTTTTTCTTTGTGGCACTGGCATGAACACACACAAACAGACAGACAGACATACACACAGGGACTTAAAAACATCAGATCTACACAGCTCAGCGCCATAAAGGAGTATGCTCTTTCTTTCTTGTTCCCTCTGTTGTTCACGTTGTTCTGTCTTCATCTACACTGAGAGGATCTACTGTAGCTGTGCCTGTCTTTGGGATGTTTGCCAGGCTGATGGAGTATACCAGCTTAACTACAGAGCAACTTAGTGATACAGTGTGTTTCGTCACCTCACTGGGAACTTTATTTTTTTTTCCAGCTGGCACCACGTTTGTTCCAGAGTCTTCCATCATCTCTGAAAATATCTCAAGTGGCCTGCGGAGAGCGACACACTCTGTTTGCGCTGGAGGACGGCAGTGTGGCGGCATGTGGGTAAGTTCAGTGTCAAACGCAGCAGACAGTTTGCCGAAGTCCAGACCTGAGGGGAATAGGAGGAGAGATGAGGAGGCACACCCCTCCCGCCCCATCCCCACCCCCCACACCAATATTAATGCATAGGCAAATTAGGGTCAGGGGAAAGATCGAAGGGTTGCGTGCGTGTGTGTGGAGTACATTGACAAGAAATCACTGGGTATTTAAACTTTACCTTCTCTGCACTTGTGTGAGGAGATGCATATGTTTGCAAGTGCTTGTGTTTGCGTGTCTCTTCATTTCTGCTCGGCATGCAAAGTTGTAATAAATCTTGTTGAGTGTGGGTGAGAGAGCTGCATGTGCTGCCTGGTGGCTCAGGATCAATATGAAGTATGTTTATTGAATCGAGTAGTTGTGTTTGTGGAGAAGGGGAATAAACCAGCTGGAATCAGTGATCAGATGTGCTTTTAGGGCTCATTACCAGGCTGTTGGTCACATTGATCTGCTTTTAAACAGCCCTCTGGATTGGACAAGCATAAGCTTGAACGCAGCCAACATGATACACTTTAATATTTCAGCATTCTGCTTAGTATTTCAAAGATTAACTTATTTTCCTCCACAAACTTTAATTTACTTTTCACTTCTTTTTATTTAGCTGCTTATATGTGTTTGTGTTACTGAAATTAGCTTAATTTACTCTGATACTGATAATAGGCTAATATATTCTGGATTTGAATGCTATTTTGTGAGTTGAGCAGTCCTCTGAAGAGTATTTAGCCCATGTGACCTAAAAATTTTCAAGACTCAGGTTAATAATATTAGGTGTTAAGAAAATTAGTATAATATTTTCTATAGTTAATTTATATTTCATAATGGGGAATTGTAGTACAGCTGTCATAAAGTCACAAATTCCTTAAAATTAAGTCAGACAATACATTGACTGAAATGACATGAAAGTGACATGAGACTTATATTTGACCACCAGCAATATAAAGACTTAAAGACCATATAAATACTAAATGAAATAAAGTAAAACGTAAATGGAACACGTATAGCTATGGTTTAGTGTTGATTCATAGTATTTGGGTTTTTAAAGATGAGTTGTTGAGTGTTGTCTTTCACTCAAGGAAATTGAAATATATTCAAATATGGCTTGAAGGAGCAGTTAGGTTGAGTTGAAATATCCTTGTCAGGCCTGGCCATAAAATTGTGATATTTAAATTTTTTCTGACACCTTTAGTTTGTGTTCACTCTTCACTATTTAAAATGATACCTCCATAAAGTTCTCACTAGCTAAATCCCTGTTACCTGTCCCTATTTCTGGTCCCTTCACACCCAGTCACCCTTATCCCCAGCTGACCCACCCACCCACACAAAGGCTTGCAAGCACACATATATCTCTTCCCCATTCCTCTCTCTCTTCTTGGCTCCCTGTGTTTGCATGTGATATTTTAGGCGACTCTAGGAGGGATGACAGTTCTAACTAGGCCTATTAGGTAACCCTCAGGGTGCCCTCAGCACTGATTTGAGCACCATTAATTTTCTATTATGGAGTGCTAAAGATGTGCCCCTGCACAGTCATTCACCTGGCTTATTGAGTCTTGCACACACCAATTGTGGACTTTTCCAGGGCAGTGTTGCTGAAGGTTTAGTGCGACCCCTCTGGGGAGCTAATTTATTATTTGCAGATATTGATCTGGCAGGGTAGGCCAGCCAAGCCGTGGCCGATGTTGACTCTGCTCTGGCCTGTGGCGACTTTAACCCTTTTCAGACTGAAGTAGACACACACTAGATGGATGGTCAGTGGCTGTTAGAGCACCGCTATTAGTAGTTGTTTCAATTTCTTAGCTTGTAAAATGGTTCGTTTTTCTGAAATGAGGAACCGGTGGAAGTAATTTGCAATAAGGAGAAGATAGATTTTATCTGTCTACAGACCTTGTTTTTTCTTAGCAAACGGACAAATAAGCAGGCACACATGCCTGAGTGCTCATACACGCACACACACGCGCACACACACACACACGCACACTGTCTGGCTTGTCCAAGGGAAATAAAATCACAGTTAAGAGGAAGGAAAACAAATTTAGAAGGTCAGACAAAACATTTATCAAGCTGTGTGTCTGGTGGGTAAATAGCAGAGGGACAGTAAAGGGCATGACACTGAAACCACCAGATAACCACAGCAGATCATCACACAGTCTCAAGATTCACTGCTGAAAACAGATATTTCTCAGAGGGTTGCCTTCAGAGCATTTGCTAATATTCTTTCTCCTGTATTGCTGTTTTATTTTGAACGTAAAACTCAGTTATAACAGCATACACCCATGTGACCAAAATGAAAGTAATCATGGTGAACGAGAGAAAAGAGAGACACACTTCATAGACAACTTTGATTAAATGTAGCAGTGGAGATTAAGTGTAGGAGTGGGGGAAAATAATGCATATACCCAACATTAAACGGCAAACATTTTTTCCCGAGACTGGACTAAAAAGTGACAAATAAGTTGCATTTCTGTACATTCTGTTGTAGTTTTCTTGTTGCACACAAGACCAGATCAGTCTTAATTTAAATGACGACCATATGTTGAAAATACCAAACTTGAAAAAGTAGAATTTGCCATGATGCAAAAGCTAAAAAGCTTCCCTAAACTGAGACAAATAACCTGCATCAGACTTCTTATTGTAACTCTACAATTACAGACAGATAGCTATTTTTTGCAGGCTAATAACAAGAATGACAGACTTAATATCCACTTTACAGACACACACACACACACACACACACACACACACACAATCATACTGTATGAACTTGGTCTCCAGCACTTGTATTACTCAACACACACACACATTTACGCCCAGGGACCAATAAGTTGCTTCCCTCAGGCCTCCTCAAGGACCTGCTACAACCTCAGACTCGGCTTGGCCGTCCCAGCCCTAATTGGTATTTAATGCTCTCACTGAACCTCAGAGGTCAAACAGCAGTGTGTGTGTGTGTGTGTGTGTGTGTGTGTGTGTGTTAGTGTTTGTATAATGGTGCTGAGCCAAGTGTGTCACAGGAGGTATTACCAAGAAAGGGCAGAGAGAAAAGCTACAGATAGCACAAGTATGGCGATGTCCTGTGATGACTGCTGGGTAGCCTGAATAGAGGGTGAATGATGATAGATGTCCAGAGAGGAATTATGGAGGATAATAGACCACCATCTTCCTTTATACTGGTTGTTATGATAGCATTTTACCTGATCTTTATGGTCTAGAACATAAAATAAAGGTCGGGAAATTTCCCAGGGATGAATGTGCCTCCAACCAATCCAAATTTGTCCATACTCCCTCTGTAAAGACGATTTCATGGTTGAGTGGTCTTGTTGAATTTGGCGTAGCCTCAGAAGTTGGCTTATATTCATCTTCCATATTCATGTGAGTCACTGAAACTGAGGTGGAGGTCGGAGAGAAGACATCTCTGATGAGGAAACATGGTGGAGTGGATTTTCCACTGTTTTGCTGCGTAGTCTCTGCTAATGCTGTTATGAAAGAGTGGGCATTCCGCCCATGGAGCCCTGACGGGGAAGACAGAGGGAGGAAGCCACCTCATGCTCTCTTTGTCTCGTTCCATGCCACTTCCAAAACTCAATTGTCTGCCCACTGCCAGAGACCACAGTCTGTGGAGACGCTCCTTGCATCTGTCTACACTCTGGGAGAGAAAGAAAAGAAAGAACGATTGAAAATAAAGATTGGGGGGGGGGGATACGTGAAATATGGGCCAAATAAGATATTTCCCTTTTTTGATGTCTCTGGCATATCATTCAGTGTCTCATCTACCAGATCAGGCTGCTATGAATAAAACAGCATAGGGTGGGGTTGCCTTTTTATGCTGTCTTTAAATATGTAATTATCAGACTTGATCTGCTCTCAGCTGTACGAGAGAAGTCCAGCATCTGGACAAGTCCAGACTGATTGAATATGAAGAGGCACGCCTTGATTGAACATAAAGAAAGTGTGAAATTCCTTATCCAGCTTTGTTTACTAAAAATGGTACATGCTCTCTTGGTTTATCATGAATGATGCATTTTTTCATTGGATTTACATCCATTACAGAGCTTTGGAACCTGTGCCATTACAAATTGCTCTATATGTAAAAAGAGTAAATGTGGTTCTAAAGCAACACAGTTGTCAATAAGCATCAAGCAGCCGCCGCTGACGTGCCTGCTGTCTCATCAGTAATCAGGCCAATCTGTTTTAGCAGAAAATGGCCATACACGGCGCAGCATTGATGGAAATGTCTCATTTCAACTTCATGGTGTCTTGAGAAGGCAAAGCAAATCAGCAAATGTTCATGAATTTGACAGCAGAAGCGTGGAAATTCTATGACAACTAGTTGGATTCGGTGAGCTGAGTGCCAGCACTTTGCATTAAGTTACACTAAACACTAATTGGATGCTACCTGGCTCTACATCACTAGGAGCTCTGAACAGGATCAGGGTCTGGCTCTGACTAACAGCAAGCTCTCTGGTGCTGCTGGCTGATTACCCTTAGCAAAGGGAAAACCGAAACGATGATGAGAAAAAAATCCCTTCTCTTCTCTTGCACAAGCCCTTGGCCCTATTGGCACTGTGCTAGCTTTTTGATTTTTCCTGATGTCCCTGAAATTGATTTTCAGCCATGATTGCATCGCCTCTCTGAGGATAATCAAAGATTTTGAATAATTGCTGCAGTATGACTGTACAGTGGGGAAAAACGAGAATAGTGGCTACTTCGCCTTGCTGTCATCTACAGAATAATTTTAGCTGAGCACTACAGTATGACTTCACAACATACCTCTCAAATGGTTCCCAGTTGTAAGCATGACACCATTTGTTGTATTGCACATGCCTAATAAAATCCTGCCTAGATTTGATAATGACAAAACATACCATGATGTCATAGCTTCGGACATCTGTGTGACTTTGTTTTGTCACTGAAAGCTATTATTCAGGTAGTTGATATTTAATCATTCATTATTGTTCTTTTGGATTTTTGCTAAA